TACAATAAAACAAAGAATGTTTCTATATACAGTCCTGTCATAGGAAAGTAAGGGGTAACAATTATACTGATGTATTCTGCAAACTAAAAAAATACATATATACTAAAAAAAAAGGGGGGCAATATTTTTCCACTATTACTTGGCCCTTCTCTTTTTGCTGCTGCTTTTATGAGAAAAGTTATTTTATGGAATAGTGTTGTTGTTGTTGTTTCTTCCTCTCTGTCTTGCTATTGTTGCTTTTTTTTTTGGTCCTTTTCTCTCTCTGACTTGTAGATGAGTTCAAAAGTTATACCATAGTCCCCCCCACTTGGCTGGGCCCATCCCCTGTTTTTGTTTTAGAGCATTCTCACTTTTCCTCAGAGCTGAGAGGCTAAAAAAAAATCCTCCTTTTTTTTTCACCTAACCTGAAACTTTAATGCACTCGAGCAAGAACAGTCCAGTCCAGTATGAACAACTATCCAGTCTTCCTAAGTGCACTTTCCCAATCAGTTATTCTCTTTTTTCTTTCTTTGGTAAGATTTGCCATTTTAGATGTAAGTGGATTCATTTTTTTCTATTCTACTGATTATTTCTGCTGTGCAGACCATTGTTTTTATTTGATTATCCTTCTGGCCTTAATTCTTGACCTCAAACTTTGCATTAGGGCCAGGCTCTGTGTACTTCTGGAGCTAATGTTTGGGTTGAGCTTGGGACTGTTTTGTGTCCTCAAGTCATGCTGCTACTTTCTCCAGGTATTAAGTGATGTGTTATCAAGGACCTCAGAGGGAGCTAAATATAGAAATCTGCAAGTGTTCAGTGCACTTGAAGTGGTTTGATTCTGAGCAAAGTCTGAGTGCTGCCCTCCTGATTTGAATTCTGTAAGTTACTGACCTGTGTTTTGGTCGGGGCAGCAAAACTATACAGCCTTATCCCTAGTGGGAGCTCCAGTATACTGCAGCTATACTCAGCTATTATCAGCCAGATTGAAAGCTCTGTAGATTCAGAGTGACAGAACTGCAGACTTCCCTTGCTTGAAACTCCCTCACTACCCTGGTTGTTCTGCTGCAGGCTACGAACTGAGCTAGGTACTGGATCTGAGACTCTATTGCTTTCTCAGGGCAAGAGCCATATAGTTACTGTTTGCTTCTGCTCTTGCTCTTCACCTAGTATACAACCTCAATCCATGACCACTTTGCTATGGAATACCACTTCTAGCTGCTGGTCCCCTCTTCAATCTGCACTGCATCCATGACTCAGCACTGGGTTACATGTAATACAACTGCCAGTTGGTACTTGTTCCTGATCCCTGCACAGCATCAGACCCTTCTGCTCAACCTGTGATCTCTTCTTGTTCTAATGCTTAGATATAGGTCCTAGTTCAGCCCTGCTTTAGCTCCCCCAGCTTAAAGGCCCCTTGCAGTGCATTGCTTGATAGACTCCATTCCCATGTCCATAGATATCTCTCTCATACTGACGTGGGCTAGAAAAGTGATTGTGACTTTTCCTGGATTTCCCAATCAGGACTCCTCCTGGTGCATCTTCTAGATCTTTATGGAAGAGTTGTAAGAAGTAACTGAGCTGTACTGCTTCCTCCTATTTCTCCATCTTAATCAACTGCTTAGTTAAATGTATACTCATGACTGGTCATACTAAGATATTTAATCTTCATTGGACCATTTCTTAATACTATAAACTTATTGATGTAAAACACATAATTCTTGCTAACTCCTTGGGTCACTGTAGATCAGATTGTGGATCCTGGACAATGCCAGGCAATTTGTTCATATGTCTAATGACTATAATACCAGACCACCATAGCACTGGTCATCTTCCTGTAACCCTGGGACTATTTCTAGTTCTTGGGCAAATTTGCTCCTATGTTACTCTGTAACCTGGAAAGGTTCACTCCCATCCTACCTTTGCTGTTGGGCTTTTATGACACCTTCTGGCTATGTGTAGTCAGGAAATGTGGGGCCCAGGGCTGACTAGAACCTGAAGTGTACATGCACCTGTCTTGTATCTTTCACTAATGAGTGGCCTGATTCAATAAGTGGTGAGTTTTTGCTAGGCTCAAAATCAAACTCTAGAGTAACTTACAGTATAATGCCTGTCATTAATTAAGTATCCAGTTCTTTCATTACATAGCAAAAACACAAAACCAAAAAAAAAAAACTAATGTGGTCTTAGGCCTTATTTATGGAGATAGAATATTCAGAACATGGGAATAATCTTAATATATGGTTTTCTAGGTCAATATGCCACCTGATAGATCCTTACATATAGTTCAGGAGCCTTAGATTTTATATGAGTTTGACACTACTTGTCTAGATCACCTCTGAGGTTCCTTCCAGCTGTGATTCTATGACTATTCATGCAATAGCTATGAGTACCTTTTCCCAGATTTATGAGAAACTACCTTTCCCCCATGCCTACACATCCTGAACTCTACCAATGGAGGGAGGGGAATGTATGTTCTAAGTCAAGTTCTAAAAAAAAATGTACAAGTCAGTGGTTGAGTCAACAATTTATATAACTCATACTAATTAGTGCTTTGAGATTTAAAAATTGGATTTTCCACAGTACTGTAAGGTAGATAGTGTAAGCTTGTCTCTTGTGTCAGAGGATCTCAAGAAATAATGGTCCCAGTATACTTTGAAGGATTTTCTCACTCTCTTGGCTTGTAGCACTCACACAGGAAATTTGGAAACTCCAGTAGACTCCCAACCTAGCAAAATTAGAAAGAATTTTACTGAAAAACCAAAACCAACGTGGGAGGAGGGGAGGAAAAGAGAATCTAGAATGGAATTCAATGCTATCAACAAAATCTATCTAAATTTCCAGTTAGTTACATTCCCAAATCTTCTCCCTTAGCAATCCCCTGCTGCTGCCAGCACAGCTCTCTATCATGGCATCATGGCTCATTCTGTAGTTCTTCACGGGGGTGGGGAACCTCCTCTTTCTTTGTCACACATTATTTGGCCTGAATTTGGCCTGGTGTTCACAGAGCTGCTGTACCGAAGTAAACACTTTGTAAATTTTAAAACACTGCAGAAATCGGAATGCTTATTATTTCCAAAGACATTCTTTTAAAAGGGGAAAGTTTTTTCCTTACACTAGTTAATCTCACAGAACTATTGTTACAAAATGAACTCTTTCTAAATTTTAAAGCATTATAGAAATTAGAATGATCAGGCAAGCTCAAAAACTCTGGAAGAAAAACTTTCTATGGCTTAGATGAAGTCTTTGTCACCACATACTGGGAGAGGAGATGAAGCAGGGTGGGGTTGCAGGAAACATTCAGTTTTTCCTGTGTGGTAAGAGACACAATTCTCTCTGGGACAAACCTAATGAACTTTACAGTCCCCTCAAGAAGTTTGCTACAAGGATAATGTTTTCTAATAATTAGAATTAACCAAAAGAGATATTGGGCTGTGTTGGTAGCATCTCCCTCTGTAGGTTGTCAAACAAAGGCCAGAAGACCATTTGTTGAAGTGTTTTAGAGGCATTGGTAAAGTACAGGTTGGTCTATAACCTCCGAAGTTCCTTCCAATTGTGAGTCTATGAGTATTTGTACAATAGCTATGAATACCTTTCCTCAGATTTATGAGAAATTACAGTCCCAAGATGAATTCTACCACTGGGGATGGGGGTCAGGGTCTCTAAGATTCCTTCCAGCTCTATATCTGTGATCCTAAGATTCTATGAGATATGGTACTAGGTTAGAGACTTTCCCTCACACATACATATTAGCTTTGGGTGAGTACCCATTTCTCCCCCTAGGTATTTCAGTTACCTCATCTGTAAAATAGATAGAAAATCCTTGCATCAGCTAATCTCACAGAGCTATTGTTACACAGCGAAACACTTTGTAAACTTTAAAGCACGATAGAAATGGGAATGGTTATTATCATTTTCCAAGCCATTCTTTTAAAAGAATAGATCAGGGAAAAAATTTCCTTGTACCAGTTAATCTCAACAACAGCTAATCTTTATATAGTGCTTACTGTGTTAAGCACTTTACAATTATTATTTGATTTCATCCTCACAACAATCCTGGGAGATAGGTGCTATTCTTACCCCCAGTTTACAGATGAGGAAACTGAGTTAAACAGAGGTTAAGTGACTTGCCTAGGGTCACACAGCTAGTGTGTGAGGCCACATTTGAGCTTAAGCCTTCCTGAATTTGACCAGGTGTTCCCAGAGCTGCTGTACCAAAATAAACACTTTGTAAACTTTAAAACACTATTGAAATGGGAATGGTTATTATTTCCAAAGACATTCTTTTAAAAGGGGAAAGTTTTTCCTTGCACTAGCTAATCTCACAGGACTATTGTTACAAAATGAACTCTTTGTAAACTTTAAAACACTATAGAAATGGGAATGATTATTATTTCCAAAGACATTCTTTTAAAAGGGGAAAGTTTTTCTTTGCACTAGCTAATCTCACAGAACTATTGCTACAAAATGAACTCTTTGTAAACTTTAAAGCATTATAGAAATTAGAATGGTTATTATCACATCCCAACTCATTCTTTTAAAAGACTAGATCAAGGGGAAACTTCCATCAGGATCTAACAAGTCATTGCTCCAGAAAACGAATAACTTGCGACAGAACAAGGTTTCCCAAACTTGTGGGCTTGTAATTTACACAAGGCGCGTCAGTCCCTAAGAAGCCCCGCCCACTCCACAGCCTTCCCCATCCCATCGTCCCTTCTGCGACGAACGTCCTCTCGCGAGACTAGCCCTCTTTTCTCCCCCCCACCCCCGCCCCTTTACCTCTAGCTGGCACTTGCGCAGAAGGCTGACGAGAAGCCGAGAGGGGGCGGGATGAAGGGAGGTAGGTGGTCCGAGTGATGGAAGGTGGAGCCGCCGCGGCTTCTCCCTGACGCGCGCGCTCTCCTCGACCTCCCGACCCCACGCGCCCCGTGGAAGTCCGTGGGGCGCGAGCCCAGCTGCCCCAACAAGCGACAACCCGGCCGAACGGGCTTGGAGATCCTCCCGGCCGCCAGCTCCTCCCCGCAGCCCCGGTGCTCGGAGCGGCCCAGGGCGGCTGGAGAGCCTGGGAGAGGAGAGCGACGCGGCGCCGCCGACACTTTTAGGTAGGTTACCTGGCGATGGCGGCCGGGGGTCCAGGGGAAGGCGAGGCATCTCTTTCGGACCGAAAACGGCGGGGGCTGCTGGTGCCCGGAGCGGCCTCGAGAACGCGGAGTGGGGGGGGGGGAGGCCGGCGTCCTGCATCCCCGCAGCTGCCCGCAGCATCCATCACCCCACTCCCAAGCCTTACTACCCCTGGTACCTTTTTTTCCTTAGGGCTAGGTGGGGTTTGTGGAAGGAACTGCCTAAAGAGCTTTTCCGTGGCGGGGACGGGGACGGGGAGTGGGGGGGAACCCGCCGAGACAAGGCTTTTGTTTTGCTTTTGCTTTTTAAACCACCCCAGGGGGAGTACTGGGGCTTTAAAAAGCCTTACAGCCTTTATAGGCGATTGCATTGTTGGCAGATAGCCTTGACATATATTGCGATCCCGCAGGAAACTGTGAGTCTCTACTATCTTGAGGACATACTGCTGCTTAGTCTGGGCTGGAGTTTGACAGCCAAATGGGCAATTATTCTGTGCTGTGTCTAGATAAAGAAGAGACTTAGGCCCCAAACAGTCTTTCTTATCTGAAAGCAGTTCTTGGTGTCCAATTAAACTCATCTGAACTTTCGGGAATATTGTGCTTTTTATATGCTCCCTTGGAGTTGATGGATTTATTGAAAAGGAAAAAATGTTTTTCCCCCCAAACCCCTGTATTTATTTACCTGATGGTTGTTATAGTTAAAGTATATACTGCTTATCAGAGTTGTAATCCCACTACCGATGGCACTTGCTGTATTCAGCAAGATGGAAATACTGGATTTGGTTACTTTTTTTTTCCCCGTAGGTAGTGATTAACTTTATTTGTGACTTTCACTGGAAGTATTAAAAGCACCAGTATAGAATGGTGAAAGACTGGAGACAGTTCTTAATGTTCTTAACTCATCATAAAAACTTTTCCGAATCAGTATAGGTAACTTTGGTTACAGCCAGTGGAAGAGTAGAAATGGCCAAAGTGGAAATAAAGTAATTTAGTATTGTTTTAAATCAATGGTTGTTTCAGAAACCTCATTAAAGATCAGATTTTTTACATGATACATCGAAATCTTAAGTTTTAGATGCGAGATCACTTTCCTTGGTTAATCTACTGTAATACAAGTAACTGAAATATGGTGTTTGTTAAGCCTATCCCAAGAATTACGGACGACTAGTACTGTGCATTTAAAAGTGATTTCTCTTCCTTTCCCCTTTCTATTTTCTTTTATGGGAAAAAAAGATTAACATTTTATCTTAACGTAATGGCTTAAATTTATTTTAGACCAGCGTGATCTTTAAAGGTGAGATGTTTTTGAGTGTCTCCTTGTATGTTTTCCTTCTTTACATTCTTTGAAGTAGAAATCAAATACATTGCTTACACTGGCACTTCTCAAATGACAGTGAATATTGTTACCCTACCTCAATGGAGATTAGACCACAACTGAGTGTACTCTACTGTGCGTAACAGTGAAACCTTCCATTTAGTGCCTTTATGGCTCAGAAGAAATTCAAAGGTCTTTTCTCTCTTTAATTTTCCCAACATTCCACAAAAGTAGAGCAAAATTAAGTATTCTTTTTTAAAAAAAAAACTGATGTACAAATAGAGACACAGAAAGATTGAAATGATTGAATCAAGATTAAACAGGGTCAGAGCTAGGAAACCATTTTTAGCTCTTTTAGTAGTTTTGTCTTTCCTGTGGGTGCAGTGTTAAGTTCAATCATCAATTTGATGTCAGGGCTGAAGATTTACATTTTTTCAAAAGAAAATCTGATGTTTCCTGATTTGAGGCTTAGATTCAGACCTCACCATGGTTAGATCATTCTGAGTTTCTTTCCTAAAAGTAAGTACTTCAATGGCATATATGTATTGTATTTTTTTAAGATTGACTAGTTAAAATATAATTATTTGGGAATCTATCATTTTTTATATATTTTGAAGCACACTGGGGTGTTATAAAAGTAGAATACATAATCATTTCTCTAATCCAAAACATATTATGGAGGGATGAAAACTTAGACTGGTAGGATCTGTCCTTTCTATCCCTGGGTTTGTGTTTGTCTGAAGTATCTAAAAAACCTAATATGGCTCCTGGATCAGTTGTGGGATTGACTTCATGACTCAGACCTGCTTTCAGATGAGAGGAATCATGATCTGTTTTGATCTGAGACCCTGAAATCTTCTTTAAATGAACCCAAGTTAGTCATGTGAACTAGGGCTATATTGGGCATTTAAACTTTATACAAATTTGAATTGCAACACCTTCTCCCATCCTGGTCTATCTATACCAAACCCTACACTTGACTTTTGTTCATACCCCTGGGATTGAGTTAGAATTTGGCCAACCTCTGACGAGGGAAAAATTAATCCCTCTCCATCCCTAGTATGGTGAAGACTTTTCAGAGCCAGACCCTCTTGGTACAGAGTACTTTGTTGGTTATCAGATCAGCAGATATTATTGTCATTTCATTTATTGATGAAAATGTTTATTGTGAGAACTTGAACTCAGCAGTTTGCATTTCTCCAGTTTTGGGGAGTACTAGAAAACTCACTTCCAAATAAACAGAGCAGTTCATGTAAAAGGGAAGATAATGTGTTTTTGTGTGGACTTAACCTTAATAAAGTAAAGTTCACTTCTGAAACCTTGATGACTGGTTCAGAATCTTTTTATTTACTTAAGAGTTCGATACTACCCTCTTCCAAAAGGATTTGAATTGGTTTTCATTTTAAACAGGATGTCAGTAAAACAATTAGGGATAGAAAAGAATGTGGAGCATTAGTACCTATATTAAACTGTTAACAACGGAGCTCTGAATTGCACTCTAGAATTTCTTGGCAGTTAAATTAAAAAGGAAGACACATTGTGTTACATAGTTTTCCTTTACTGACAAAAGAAAAAATGTTTACAGATAAACTTTTTTAAAAAACTAGACTCAAACTGGAGTTGACTGCAGAAGATACAGAAATGCTATCCAAATGCCTAGATTGTAACTTGATGAAGGAATTTTAAAGTGGGGAGAGGGGGGAAAGGAGACAGTTCCAGATTCCTTACTTTTCTAATGATCTACTTTTAATTTTGTTGTTCAGTTGTTTCGTGACCCTATTTGGGGTTTTCTTGGCGGAAATATTGTAATGATTTGCCATTTCTTTTTCCAGCTCATTTTTCAAGTGAGGAACTGAGGCAAACAGGGTTAAGTGACTTGCCTAAGGTAACAGAGCTACTAAGTGTCTGAGGCCACATTTCATCTCAGGAGGGTGAGTCTTCCTGACTTTAGGCCTGGTACTCTATTCCCTGAACCACCTAACTGCCCCTTCTTTTAAGACATAGAGAGAATTTGGAGAATCTACAAGAATAGATAGGTAGTTGATGTGTTTATTAGTTTATTACTTTCAAGTATTTTGATGTCTTAAGCCCTTGGCAGGTGCTAGATTACAGTCATGTTCATAAGGAATTTGCTGTCATTGATCAGGGCCTAGCTACAAAAATAATTTACTTGCTCTTAACCCCCACCCCAAATCAAAACCTTTCAGCACAGGTGTGATTAGAACTCTTAGAGCTTCTTCTTTCCTTCTTTCCCTCTATCCCTTCTTACTTCCCTTCCTCCTTCCCTTCTTCTCTCCCTCCCTTCTCTCCCTCTGTCCACCTAGAGAATCATACCCTTACCAGGGGGTGCTGTGTGCAAAGGAATATAAAGTTGGGTCATTGAAACCTCTCAAGATATCTTGGAGTGGGCTAGATGTCTTTTAAGGACCATGCCTTAAACCCAAATCACCCTGGCTCTCATTGATTGGCCAACAATAGGTCCCAGTCCAAAACTCATATGGTCATTGACTCTGGTGGCTCAAAGTGAATGTAAATAGCAATTGTTTCTGTTTTGGCCAGAAACCCTGAGAATCTTCCCCTCCTGGACAGATTTTTTTTTTTTTTGACCAGGTAAAAGAGGCCATTCTTTGCCTCACTTCTTACCTAACCTTAAGGTCTTAGCTTAAAAGGGCCAAGGTCTCTCTCTGCATCCTGGGCCATCTCCAGTCACCCTGATCAATATCTGGCCACTGGACCCAGATGGCTCTGGAGGAGAAAGGCTGGTGACTTTGCACAGCCCTCCTTCACTCAAATCAGTCAATTGCAAGTCATATCATCATCTCCCTGATGTCCTGGTCCTCTTCGAGAACGAAGGACAAACAACAACAATCTGACAAACAGTTATACAGTCCTGCTTCAGGACTTCCAATGAGGAAGAACCCATTGCCATTTGTGGCAGTTCATTCCACTTCTGGATAGTTCTAATTGTTAAAGTTTTTCTTTATGTTGAGCAGATATTTGCTTTTTTGCACATTAGTTCTTGTTCTTATTTCTGCCTTTTTGGGTCAAACTAACAAGTCTAATCCTTTTTCCACATGTTAGTCATTCAAAAATTTGAAGGTAGTTATCCTACCCCCAACCCTATTAAGCCTAAAGATTCCCAACTCCTTCATCATATCAGAAAAACAGTTAAGAGTAACTTAAAAAGTTGCATTCATTGATTATCATCAAGCTTCTACTCAATGTACAGGAATTCCCAGTGATCCAAACCATACCTGCAACCTTAGTATAGACCATAGATCAAGCTTGCACAACATTCAGCCCGCCCTCTTTTGGCCCACCCCAAGTAAAATATTGAGGATGTAAAACAACCCCTGCACAGCATACCACCTGCAGGCCAGTTTGGCAGGATGCGAGTAGCTCTTGGCCTTATGTTATGCAGGCCTGCCATAGAATATTAATCCTTCTTTGGAGCTTCTATGAAAACATTATATCACAGTAGGTTTTCCAAACCTTTTCATCTCTCCTCAAGCCTTACATGTCACTCCCTTATCCCACCCTCTCAGCAGAGAACCTAGTCTCATATTTCATTGAAAAAAATGAGACCACTTAAGGAGAGTTCCCTTTTCTTCATTCACTCATCTTAAATCACTGGCATCTTCCCCTGCTATCTCCTTCTCCACCTTGG